CCGGAACGTACCCTGTGGTAGGTCCGTATACGGGAAACGTACCCTGGTACTATCTAATATGCCGGACCGCTACCTCGGCCTACCTTCACCTAAGCGAGTCGTTAGGGAGTCGCCCTACGCCTACTTCCCTAACACCTAACCCTAACCCATATCAAATAAGTTACCAGCCGGCTACCGTTGCCTGCGCTTATACCGCGACCGCTACCAGTCGGCTTACCGTTCCGCAGGCCTCCGGCACTACCCTGCAAGGGGACATAGACCCTATTGGAGCGTCAGTAGGGAAATACGAAGTGCAAGCAATGGATTCGGTACCGCCCCAAAGCAGTGAAAGCCATTGAATAATGCCATCGCCTTACTTCATGGCATAATGCTAGATATTCTACCTTCTGAGACCTCAGATATAAGGGAGATAACGCCACACCCACGAACCACCTCAATTTATCTCTGACAACTATTGCACATGCGACAGGCGCGTAGCCAGGATTTGGTTTTTGCCGGGGGCGGCACATTGCCCACTGAGCACGTGCAAGTGTCCCAGTGAGTGTGCCGAGATCAGGCTGGGCGTAAATCCTTCTACCGAGGAGCTGGCGGAGCGGGGGATGACTCGGCGATAGCCATCACATTACTAGCAACGAGCGACGTAAGCACAACTAATTTACACACACGCGCGCGAGTCGCGCCCACGCCCGACGAACATACAATACAACAACACACACCACAGGGGCCGCGATCCAGAATTTTGAAAAGGGTGTTCCAGAAGAGATTTGCCTTATTACAAAGGGCGACTGTTGCGCGTGCCTGTGAGACCTGGGGCACTTTGACCTTCCCTCTCTCTCCTTTCCTTGTCTCTCTGTGTGCTCTTGCTACTTACTTTCTCTGGTCGTTATTTAAAAACATAAAGCTGTCCGCAAGGCCATTTGGGGGGCCGTTTGGCGGAACCTTCCCCCAAGATTTTTTTTTTACAAAATCTTGTGCCATTCTGAGGAGCATTCTGCGCCAGTAATTTATTGTCTAGAATGCTCAAATCCAAATTTATCCAAGATCCGTCTACCCAGATCACTCATATCCCGGACACGCTGCGGAACCCTCTTTGCCATTTCTACAGTTCTCTTATATTAACGAATCTACATATATCTAAGCTAAATTCTATTATCAGCAAAACTAGCGCTAAACAGTACAAGATTTGTTCACTTGAGACAATATAAGCACGAAGTGTGATGTGTGTGAATGTTGTGCGCGGCGCGCTGTGTGTAGTGTGTGTGTGTGTGTGCGTTGCCGTGCGTGGTCGCGCGGCGTGCTGTGCGTGCGTCAGTTGTTGTGTAGTGTGGCTGTGTGTCTGTGTGTAGTGTGTCTAGCGTGCGGATGCTGTGTGCCGTGCTGCGCCTTCAGGCCCTCCTCGCAACGGTGCGTGCTGATGTGTCCACCTGGTGTATGATTTTTTTTCCTTTTTTTGTTAAGGGCTAAAAAAGGGGGGTCCGGACGCCCTCGACCCCCCTCTGGCATTCCGGCCCCTGCCACACATACACACAACACACACACACACAAAACACACACACAACACAAACACACAACACCACACACACACACACACACACACACCTACACCACACACACAGCACACACACACACACACACACACACACACTCACACACACACCACACCACAACACACAAACCACACAACACACACACACACACACACACACACACACACACACCACCACACACACCACACACACACCACACCCAAAATACACCCACAACACAACACATCACACACATCACACACACACACACACACACACACACACACACAACACCACACACACACACACACACACACCACACACACACACACACACACAACACACACATCACACACACACACAACCACCACACACACACACCACACACACACACACTACTACACACACACACACACACACACACACGCATATTACACACAACAACCCACACACACACACACACACACACACACACACACACACACACACACACACACACACACACACGTACATACATTTATACATGCATACTAACATGCACGCACATGGCAAATTTGACAACCGTACGTTTGGCACGTGCCGTAGCCATGCCAGTGCTAGGGGGGTCTGGGGGCATGCCCCCCCAGAAAATTTTGAAATATTTAAGCCATTTTGGGCCAATATTTGAGCCGTTTTGGGGGGGGGGCGACCGCCCCCACCGCCCCCCCTGGCTACGCGCCTGATGGATATGCATTTAATATGGTTGGGGGCAGCATCGATTTATATAAGAAATTGTTATCGGAAGACCTGTGTTTATAATTAGGAGAGCGCCCTAGCATGTAGGCTGCTGCAAAACTCCTAGCTACTTCATCCCCTACCGTACGTGTTTCCCTTTATTTATTTTTTATTTTTTTTATAAGAGAAGAGAAGTTATCCTAGCATGGATTTATATGATTACATCCTATCAGCAGACCACACTTAAGCAATAGGAAGAAGACCTGGCATATGTAAGGTCCCGGGTGCGTACATACCAGCCAGTACACAATCTGCATGGCTACGTTAATGTGTTAACGCATGTGCAATATCTCACCAGAGGTGTTATATTTTGTGATGAATATGCATTTAAAATGGTTAGGGGGTATCTCAGCATAGATTTCCCTGATAAACTTTTATCAGTAGACCTGTGTTTATAATTAGGAGAGCGCCCTAGCATGTAGGGTACAACACACCTACTTTATGCCCTCGCGTCCTTCCCCTTGCCTCCTCTGTCCCTTGGCAGCCTCCTTCTTCTTCTACCGCCCCCAGCTATCTTCCCTGCAGCCTTTCCTCAGTCTCCCAACCCCTCTCCCCCGCAGCAAGCTATATTATGAAGTTTTCCTCAGACGGCACTGCACGCCTAACACGGTGCGCGTGTTACGCCCGTTCATCACATAAGTAGACAGCATTAAATAACAGCGGAAAGGCGATAAATTGACGACCCAGCAGCAGGACAAACCAACAAGAACGCCATCTTTCCTAGGAGAGAACCACGCATGCGCGCCGTTTAATACCAACATAAAATACATAGATCGTACATTTCGTACATTAGGAATCGTATAATAGAAATCACATCTTCTCCACACGCGCGCATGCGCAATATCTCTCGAGAGAAATCGAATTTTGCAAAGATTATGCATTTAAAATGAAGAGGAGTTATCCTAGCATAGCTTTATATGATAACATATTCCATCAGTAGACATCATTGAAAAAATAAGCGAAAGACCTTGCATGTAAGATCCCCGTTGCTTATACCAGCCAGTACACAATCTGGCCACGTTAGTTTGTTAGCGCATGTGCAATATCTCACCAGAGGAGTTATATTTTGTGATGAATATGCATTTAAAATGGTTAGGGGGTATCTCAGCATATATTTCCCTAATAAACTTTTATCAGTTGACATGTGTTTATAATTAGGAGAGCGCCCTTGCATGTAGGGTACAAAGCACATACTTTATGCCCTCGCGTCCTTCATCTTGCCTCCTCTGTCCCTCGCTCAGCCTTCTTCTTCTTCTACCACCCCCAGCTATCTTCCCTGCAGCCTTTCCTCAGTCACCCATCCCCTCTCTCCCTCAGCAAGCTATATTATGAAGTTTGCCTCAGACGGCACTGCACGCCTAACACGGTGCGCGCGCATGCGCAATATCTCCCACGAGAAATCGTATTTTGCAAAAGATTATGCATTTAAAATAAAGAAGAGTTATCTTAGCATAGATATATATGA